TGTAGATAACTCTATATGCTCTCCATTAAAGCGGGATATATAATCCCTTTATTTATTTATTTAGTGGAGGCAAAAGACAGAACCTTTCTTTCCTGACTTTACTTGCTTTTAGCACTACCAACTGTCGTGAATCCTGCAAAGGGCCAACTACTAGATCTTACCCACACGTCTGAATAAAGCCTAGGATACCTGAGGTACTTTGCCTCGCATCTCTTCTAGAAAGTTTTAGGCAGACAAATGTCGAGTGAGGAGGGAAGAGTGAAGATCCCAGCAGTGACCAAAGCAGCCATACACAGTTCTCAGATGATTAAAAACAAAACATTCCAAATACAAAGATTACCAGAACAAAAGCTCTTTTGTGGTGTAAGTCCTAGAGACACGACAAATGCCCCCAGAGTAATCTGAGCTCTCCCCTAGCATTAGCACTTTCTAAAGCCCACATGCAACTTTGATTTGTGGGTTTGTGCTCGAGGCGGAGGCCATGCAGCCCGGGCAGGAAGTCTTGAGGGCTGAGTTCTTTGCTCGGCTGCCTGAGTGACCTTGTGCAAGTAACTGCCAACATCCCAGGTACAGGAGAGGGAATCCCACAAGCTATCTGCCTTCCACCCTGACTCACACACCTCCTGTGTCCCCAGAGATGTGATGTGGACAGGACACAGGTCCCGTGCAATTACTCTCTTAGAGGGGACTGTTACAGAACAAGATTAACCCTCCAACACCTCCCACGGTTCAAGTGAAGCCCCAGACTTCAGCAGTTCCTTCTCTTAACATCTTCACTTGAAAACGGAAGGTAAGAGTTCGGGACTGTGGAGTCCATTTTCCTACTTTAAACCTCATTTGAATATAAAAGAAGTCTTCCTTACTGAAAAATTTACTTTAAAAAGTTAACTTCTGTTCACCTGCAGCTCAGATGAAAACGTGTCTGCTATGTCTGTCTCCTTTTGATTTGACTTGGAGAGGCAGCGCGGATTATGAGCGAAGAGCATATACAGCTTGGGTTCAAACCTTATCCCCAACACTTACTAGTCACTGATCTTGGGCACATCATTTCAGGTCCTTATGCCTCAATTTCCTCTTTTATAAATGGGAAAAAATGGTACTTTGGGAAAATAAAAATCCAATCATGTCACATTACAAAAACAAAACCCCTCACTTGCTAACTCTTCTCAATCAAAACTACATAATACTTTACTGGCAATAAATCAGTGTTCTGAAGTTTCTATGTAACTTGTATAGCCCAAAAATAGTCATTCTAGTTGAAATAGTAACTATCCTTGATAAATGGCAAGGTTCCAAACCTCCTAAGTTTCCAAGTACATTCTGTTAGGAATAAAAAGTGAATTGATTAAGGATGGAATATCAAACACTCTTTTTAAATGAATGGAGATTTGCACTACCAAGGGTTTCTGGTTTGTTTTGTTTCGCAAGAATTCTAAAATCTACGTGAAAATGCAAAGGGCCAAAAATACCCAAACCAGTCTTAAAGAATAAGATGGCAGGCTTTACTCCAAACCTTATCATAAAGCCACCATAAATATCATGGAGTAATATTAATACCAATAGAAGAACAGAACCAAAGAGAGGACCCAGCAAAGTAACACAGACATGCACAGATGTTTGATGTGTCCCAGAAATATACCACGTAGTGTGGGACAACAGGCTGGCTACACAGAAGGCTCCATCCTCACACCATCACAAATAATTTCTGGATAGCATCAACGACACAAAGGAAAGGCAAAACTACAGAGCACTTTTTAACTAAAACAATTTTAAAAGACAGCATTTTCATGACTTCAGGACAGGGAAAGGTTCTCTTTAAAAAAGACACTCAACAAAAAAACCTGGAAGTTTGCCATTAAGAATTTCTATCCAACAAAAACACCATGAAGAGAATGAAAAGTAATCCAGAGAGGAAGAGGATATCCACAACAAACATAACTAATGATTAGTATCAAGAAGGCACCTTACAGATCGGCAAGGAAAAGGACAGCTGACACAAACACAATAGAAAGATGAACAGAAGTTTTGAAGGGACACTTTTCAAAAGAGGAAATCCAGTGATCAGTAAACAAGATGCTCCATTCCTAACTAGGAAAATGCAAAATAAAACCAAAATAAAGGTCTATCAAAACGTCACACTGGCTTGTCTGGTAATATCAGGCATTCGTGTACTGGAACTCTCAGATGGGCTGGCCCCTGGATGGTGGGAATATTAAATGTTGAAAATATGCATACCTTGTAATGCACCAATTGAACGCCAAGGTAAATACCCAACAGAAATGTTTATGTGCACAAAGATGCTCATTGCAGCATTGCTTGAAATAGCCCCAAACTGAAGATACCATGGAAGTGCTCGCCACACCGGACTGGAGTGGCACATGACACAGCTGAGACGAATAAACGGCATTTATGCCACATGAATTTCATAAGCAATGTTGATTGAGTCAAAGACACCAAACACACATACAGTAGGATTCCATTTTTGTAAGGCGAAAGTAGGCAAAACAAACTAACCGTATTATTGCCTATGTAACCGGTACAACCATTGTTTAAAGAGGGGTTAGTATTACTCTAAAGCCAGGAGAGTACTTAGCTCTGGGGGATAAACAGCATACCCACAGAGGACATGGGGACATTTCAGAGTCCTGGCAGTAGCTTTTCTGCATCTGGCTTGTGATTACATAGCTGTTTGCTTTACCCATTAAACTGCACACCTGTTTTGTGTACTTCTCTGGAGGTTATATTGGACAGAATTTAAAAGAATGAGGGAGAAATTGTATACCAAATATTAACCATAATTATTAAAATAGTGCAGGAAAAACTACAAGGCCCAGAATTAGGCCCACAGCACAAGACACATGGGGATTTAATATCCTATAACGACAGCATTATAAATCAGTGGGGAAATGGTGGTTTATAATACTGAGCCAATTGGTCAACTCTCTGCAAAAATTAAAATTAAATCTTACCTTATATGGCTTCCCCAAGAAAACCTGAGATGGATTAAAAATTTCCTTTTGAATTAAAGAGAAGTATAAAAGTGAAACTTTTAAAAAGTCCTAGAAGAAAGTAAGGATGAATACGTATCCATTCTGAAGCTAAGGCAGGCATGCTCAGACGTAACCACAAAGGCAGACTTCTAAAGAAAACTACTACACTGAGACACCACAAACTATTACAAAGAAAATAACACACTAAAACAAGAACATATGACAAAAGCTGGACATCTTAATTCATCAAGAATTTATAGACCAATAAAAACAGTACATTGTCCAAGAAAATACAGTTTAGATATGAATAAGCAATGCTCAAAAGAATGAACATAAATGGCCAATAGACATGAAAAATCACTCACCCTTCATTAAGCAAAAGAAATATAAATTTTAAAAATCATCCTTTCCTGTGATTACTCAGTTAGCAAACACTTTAAATAGCAATTTTCAGTCCTGGGAGTTTGATATTGCTTGGAGAAATATAAAGGGACACAAGTCTTTGTGGTGAGTGATATAGATAAGAATCTCAAAAACTTAGCTATATTCCCAACTAGCAATCTCACTTGTAGAAAGGTATTTTCTGGAAAGAAATAATTTTTGTACAAATGTGATTATCTTTTAAGATGTTGATTGCATTGTTGATTACAGTTTACGCTGTAACAAACTGTTAAACAATAAATTAATTTTAAAAGTTAGGGCACACCCATAAAATTAAATATTCTGGAGCTATCTAAAATGAATATTCTGGAGCTATCTACTAATGGCAAAATGTTTACCACACATAGCAGGCTGTAAAACAACGGTGCAGTATGACTGCATTATTGAAAATAGTAACATATAGAAGAGTATGTAAAGTACATATACCCAAATCTCAACAGAGGCACTCTCTGGGTGATCTGACGACAGGGGACTGTGTGTCCACGCATGGGACCCCTTCGACATTACTTGGCTTTCCAGAAATATATCATTTTATTCTCTAAGGAATAATTCTATGTTGTGAAATCCATTTATTATTGCTTTTTTAAAAGGAGAAATAATGAATTTGTTAGCTCAGTGTATTTTCACATTTTTAGGGGGAGGGCAGAAGGGTGACAGGGGAGGAGGTGGAGGGTGGGGTTGGAAAGCAACAGCCGTATCTGGAAGTCCATGCTGGAAAACCCAGCCCTTCCTGACACTCCTACATGTGCTTGCAGGAAAATGTCATATATGAATGTCTCTTTCAAAGCAAGTTAAACTTAATTAAACACCCATAAAACATCACCATTAACACTGTGAAGTTGCTCTAATATTTTATTCTTCCTTTCAACACTGTTTAGAATCTCTAACACATTAAAGAAATCTCTGAAAACCATGTAATCCTTGAAAAGTACATAAATGTGTAAGACTGAGATTTCTGTAGCCTATATATGCCTCTTGGGGGATGGGGGGAGGCAGTATATTGACAATTCAATTGTAGTTTAAAAAAATTTTGTTTTCTTAACCAAACTGAACTTGTCACCTCTTAGAGCAATGAACTCAAGTCAGGTCAAGCCTAAGAACAGCTCCTCCCTTCACCTAGTCACCCTAGACTTTTCCTGTATCTTGTGTCACTTTGGGCAAATATGATCATCCAGAAAGACCGTCCACCCTCCAGCACCAACTAAAAGTACTCCTATTCCTAATCAGAAGAGAACATTCTTCCTAAGGGAAGACAGAAGAAGGAAACAAAATTTCAGAATCCTCTATGAGTGTCTTCCTAGGTATTTCACATCCAATTACCTCATTAACCCCATGCAAACATGCATAAAATTTTCTAGGCTGCTCTCTTCATTACTTGAAAAAGGAGGGAACTTTATGGTCCTAATTCATTTTAGGTGATGCCTGGGGCAACCAAGTATTTCACTGACAGATATGTAATAAATGCTATTCCACAGAGGTAAGAACCAGGAAAAGAGCAGTTACCTGCTTCATTTGGCTTAGAGAAAAAAATCCTGTGCTTACTATGTACTAAAATATCAGACTAACACACAACATACTGCAAAACTTTAATACAGTATGGTTAAAACACAATATTCAAATATTAAACTTTTTAAGCACATGAAAATCATCTTCTGATAGACAAACTGGGCTATTTTTATAGCTACCTTTGTGTAACTTTAAAAAATTCCTTCCCTCGACAATGTCTGACACTGATCTTGATACTTGTTTGAAAGTCTGATATAGGATCATGACAGCTCAACAGGCAGAGATTCACATCCCACTGGCATCTTCAGAATTCATCTCCAGAGGACTGATCGTCGTCTTCATCCCTCACTTCTCGGTACTTCCTTGAAGCCTCCCCTTCGGGATTATAGCTCTGCATCTTAATGTTCAGTCTTTCAGCTAATTTTTGTGCTGCGAGTTTGGCTTGCATCTCCTTTAAAAAAAAAAAAAAATCAAAGCAAAATGTTACATATTCACAACCTTTCCATATAATTTTTTCAGCAGGAAGTCATTTAAAGTGGAAATAAAAGGGCATACAGCTCCCCTCAGTGCTCTCTCTAGCAGTGTGCACGTCTTGAATTGTGCCTACCACGGATGGGCGGGGCAGGCAATGCTGGTGAGGGCTACGGCCTGCCACAGTCGTGGTCAGACTTCCATTCACACACAACAGTGCACTGAAATAACCCACCTCTGCGTGGGAAACCAAGGAATCTGTAGAGCGCTGTGCGTTACAAACATGAACAGAGTTTCAAGTATGCGGACACATGCACGTGTACACACACACTCACACAGCAGTTTCAACTATCAAGTGTCGAAAATCACTAGTGCTGTGTGGATTCTCCAAAAAAGAATCTTCTTTCCTCGATGAAACCACGGCTTTCAGGCTTGAGAGTTGTACTTCAATGTCACAATGAAATCAAGACACCAATACTTTGAAAAAGCCGACTATCCCTCTCCAAATTAAGTTCCCATGAAAATTACTGTGACAGAAAGTCCAAGTAAATTTTAGACACTGCCAATGTGCTCGCAGACACCCAACGAGAGCACCACAGACTGATGGCAGGTGGCAATGCCCATTTTCAATCTGGCTCTTTGCTTTTCTCATGCTTTTGCCCTACCACTTGAACTTCTTTGTGTCTCTCCCCTCAGGCCATGAATCTCCCGGAGAAGCAGGACTGAAGTGGCAGCTAACAGCACTCTGCCGAGGAAACTGGTTTCCAAGGAATTGAATTCAACCTAAAGATATCTCAGGACAGGCACTCAAGATCATATAAACAATTTAAAAACCTATTCCCCAAGAGGGTAGTCGTAACTAGGCAATAATACTTTAATACTCGAGGAAGCAAAATGGCTTTTAAAAAGGAGTGCCTTGAAAATGCCAACCCATGCCAACTGAGCTTCGGTGAGAAGCCAAGTCTGAACAACAGCCTGGTTTTGTCTTGACTGGCATCTACTACCTGATTAAAATCTACGTAAGCAATTCTACGAAGCTAAGCTGCTATTCCGGGGGAGGGTCAAACTATTACTGTAAGTACATCAGACACTTTCTTTTCTCCCTCCAGTCTTCACCTATTTTCTCCCATCTCATTATACTATACACAACTTGTTCATAAACACGCTTAAGGTGCAGAACTCCCAGATCTTTGAGGTACGTGCTATACAACATGAAGTTATTAAAAGTCGGCGATTCTTCGGTCTTCACGAGGGCCTGCACACCATGCTTTTAAGCTCTGTGTCCAAATGCCTGTTGGTAACATCACACCACTCCTCTTCCCTGTCTGGCAGGAGACAGAAACCTGGAGGAGGTTCCCTGATTCTTGGTTAGCTTCCACCACGGAGACCCTCCCGCATGGGGCTCACGAGGTGGAAGACAGGGAAGCACGGCTTCTGCTAGGCTGACAGCATGGGCGTTAGACTGGGGAATTCTGCAGTGGTCTTCCCACATTTCCTGGCAAAAACCACTCTGCTGTTGCATGTAGCTGTGATCGTCTCCAGCTGCATCCCGCGGTTCTAGCAACTTGAAGACTCTCAGAAAACTAGAGGCTCACATCTGAGAGCTAATGGCATGAGTTGACCATTTCTCAAGCACCCTTCTATTAAGTCCTGTCCTCAGTGAACTTCCTGGAGTAAATTCTGACTTAGCAGCATCTAAGAAACATTTAAAACCTTACATACCTCATAAGTCTGTTTCTGTTGTTTCTGAAGTGCCAAAGATTCTTCTATGGAGAGCAGCTGTGCGGGCATATGGTGAAGTGGCAGAAGCCGGGCTGCTGTGACATCATCAAGATGCTTCTTATCCCTGAGCTGCCTTTCTTCCAAGGAGATGGGAGACCCTCTTCTTTGCCAATGACTAGATGAATCATTCTTTTGTGAAGGTAATCTGGAGGGCAAATTTGTTATATCATCAGACTATTTTCTTTTTATAGACACATTTACAACATTCCCACACAGAAGCAGCCTTTAACCTTAGCAGTTAATTATCCTACAAAGATAAACATAGTTTCCAATATTTATATTCATAAAGACCCTTCCTGTTTTTAAACGTATTTACTCCAGAAACAGGAGTATTTAACTTGGCATCTTTTTGGAGAGTAACAGGACAATCTACTGTTTTAACAAACAGGGAGACTGATAGCTCTCTGCATTATCCTTTGCTCTTAAAACCTTACACTTGAACTGAAGCCATCTTTCCATCTTTCCCTTCAAAAACGTGCGCAAATGGGCTTGCTGTCCAGTAAACAAACTTGTACACAGTTTCCATGCCATAATACCACCCGTGGAACACTCCGCAGAGGTGGTGGTGTTCACACTATACATACTGTCACACTGGAACAGAAAGGAAACCATGAGTTCTAATGGGAGACAGGGAGGTTGTCAGAAAAGCTTTTAAAGAGTGAATTTTGAGGAATCTTGAAATAATAAATGCTCACCATGTAAATGAGGGGAGGAGGGCATCCCAGTGGGGAGTGAGGGGCAACATGGTGCGGCGCAAAGGGAGTTCAGGGGGTGACGTGTAGAGGCAAGGCCGTGAGATAAGGCTGGCCAGTAGACCGGGCCCAGTCCTCATCGAAGAGTTCTGTGTAATGGGTTCAGATCTGCACTGTATGAATTTCACTCTGAGCAGTGGAGAAGATGGATTAGAGGAGTTAAGCCTAGAGTCCAGACCAAGCCAGTTTTAGCCCAGGAGAGGGAGGAGAGCCTTCACTTTGACAGGAGAATGCATATAAGAATAATTAGAGATGAAAATCAACAAAATATACTGTTGGTCTTTATGGCTGGCAGATAGGGAGATGAAGCAAAAGACACCTTGGGAGAAAAAAAATAAAGTGGCGGCACTATGAATTTAGGGAATATGGGAGAAATCGTGGGAAGAAATACGTTCTATACTGTACAAGGTTAGGTCTGAGGTGCCACAAAACACCCACATAGCCAGGTTTCATGGTAAGTGGCCATGCAAATCTGAAGCTCTGGAAAGACCTAAGCTAGAGGGAGGTAAGAGGAAGCTGCCAGCACCCAGGAAATACATGGTGCCCAAAGGCAGAACAGAAAAGGAGTCAAAGGCTGCTCATCCATGGAATCCCTTGATCCACACTAGTCCAGGCCCAGCCTTTCCCCATCTGCTCTAACTACATGGGAGGCCTCTGGCTCTCCCCACTCCCACTTCTGGCTAAAGGACCACAGGAAAGAACCAGGATCAGTGTATCCTCTGGCCGACTAGATGCTGCTTTTGGTTTTGTCTTCCTGGAAGTGAGGAAATACACCTCACTGCACACAAGATGAGAGGTTACTCACTTTGTACATCAAGAGTACAAACATTACTTTTTATTCCTACCTAAAAATTAATGTAATTAATTAATGTAATTCATCTTCCTGGTTTTTCTAAAGAATAAAATGTTTTCAAGTTAAAAAAATGGCAGGATTAAACTTTAAAGACTATAATAATTCTCTGAAAGTTTTAGGTATTTCTAACTAGAGCTTCTCAGCTTTTCGAAGAAAAGTAGTAGTGATTCCACTTTGTGCATAATGTAAGCCTGGTAATTACAGACAGGTAGGCTAAATACACTGGATACTCCCTGACGTGAACGTTACATCTGCCTACAAGTAAATAAAATTCCTTTCTCTTCGAAGAGGTTTTCTTTTTCTGGAAATCTCAGAAACAAAAAACTATGACAAGGAACTCAGAAGCATGGTTCGTTTACCCTCCTGCCCCAATCTGTTTTTCAGTTTCTTTAACCCCTTCCTAGCTCCCTTCCCCCTCAAGTTGTTATGATACAGTTCAATGTTCTTCCAAGTGGGTAGGTCTTGGGTCTTCACCTAGATCCTGAATTCTTTGAGGAATGGGATCTTTACTTCTGTGCCACCCCAGCACCAGTTGCTTACCTATAGTGAGCACACAAATATTTTTCACTGTCAAATCCATTGGCTTCTAAAGCTGCTTTTCCCTTAGCTTACAGTCTAATCAAAGGGGGAGCTGCATACCAAAAAATTATTGTGGAAAATAATCATAATAAATTCTCTCTCCAGGTTTAATATCAAATGTTGGCTAAGCCCACCCTGAACTCTAATACTCTACCTGCTATTTAAACCCGTTCAATCATTTGGCTGAAAACCTAAGTATTTTTCAACACGAATCCTCCATTCCAGCCAGGCTATTTCCACAAGACGCTCTTTGCTAACTACAAGTAGCTCCCAAACAAAAAAAGTCCACTGAACTGAAAGCATTCGTCCAATGTTTTGAGTTTAACAAATAGTATGTGCCTGTGACAGGCCTGTTTCTGATAGTACTTACACATTAGTTTTAAATTTATGTAGTGGGGGTACCGGGTTTTTGGCTCGAATTTCTAGCACTTCCATGAAATGAGGCTTCTTCTGTGCCCCACTATCAAGCCTTGCCAAGTTCTCAGCACCCCTGTTCTCTTCTGAGTGCTCTTCACCTGAGTCCACAATTGTGATCCTCTGTAACCTATTAATAAACAGGCTGTCAGAGCTGCTCAAATTATCTTCTGCTTGACTTGAAACACGATGCTGAAGGAGACGCTCACCGGCCGCGCAGGAGGAAGGCGCGCTGGCTCTGCTGCGGGAAGCTGGGCGCGCGCTCACTGTGTACTCAACTTCGGGAGCCTCTTCAGCGCCTTCGTGAGGAGGATGTACAAGTCCCCGCTGCTGGGAGGTGGTTTTAGATGACTCGGTGTTACTTACAGAGGAAGAGCCACAGACTGGCGATGAAGTAGCAAGTATCCGGTCAGAACTCTGGGCCGTTTCAGTGTCCACATCAACAACTGCAACTGCTTTTTGCCGTAGCTTACAGTCTAAACTAACAGGATGAAACAGTCCACTTTTTCCTCTAACTTCACATTCGGCAATGGCAGCTTTCACTTTGGCAACAGAGTCTAAGATCTTTTTACCTTTGTCGGGCAATTTGCAAATGAATTTTCTGTTGAATGGAAAAAACCGAAACAAACAAACATGTATCTGTCAGAGCCATGTTTTCAAACTTGAGATATAAAGACAAAGCATCATCCTCAAAGTGAGAAAAATCTATCTGTAAGTCAAAAATCTGACTTCCAACAGCCTCAGAACAGGAATGAAATAAGTCGTCATCTAAATACCCTAAAAAAAAAAAAAAAAAAAAAAAGGATGCAGGAAAAACATCCTTCATATGCCTAATTAGAATTTCAGCAAAAGTATTTTAAGCATATAATACTCTATAATATACTCCAAAACTCGCAGTTTTTAAAGTGGGATGTCCAAGACCTTCATGGGGAGGGGAGGTGGATGGTTCTGCAAGGCCAGAATTATTTTTGTAATAGCACTAAGCCATTATTTGCCATTTCCACGCTCATTATCTTATATGGGTACAGCAGAGATTTCCAAAGGCCACATGATATGTGGTATCATTGCTCTGATGACTCATGATTGTGTATTCTTGTGTTTTAAAGATCTCTCACCTAGAATTCCTTTTTTTTTTTTAAAGTTTATTTTGAGAGAGAGAGAGCGATCGAGCATAAGTGGGAAAGGGGGAGGGAGAGGGAGAGAGAATCCCAAGCAGACTCCATGCTGAGCATGGAGTCCAACTCGGGGTTCCATCATGAGATCTGAGATCATGACCTTAGTGGAAACCGAGAGTGGAACAACTGTGCCACCCAGGTGCCCCTCTCACCTGTAATTCCTAACACACTAATAAACATCAGTAGATGTAACACACATAAAACAAGAGCTCCTTGGCATGCTCAGTAAGTCTTAAAGTATAAAGGGGTCCTGAGACCAAAAAGTTAAGTCCCTGCTATAGATTAAAAACCCATTCTCACAAAGTCAAAGTACATGCCCTACTAGAAAGCTCCCAAATGATCATTTTTGCTGAGTGACTTAGGTTTTTTTCAGATTCTCTTTTCTTTATCCATATAAGAAACGGAGGGAAGAGTACACCCCTGGCTTTTTATTCTTTCACACTACATTCCTTCCCACAGTTTCAACATTAACATCCCTCTGCAGTTGAGATTCCTGTATGTCCTCAGCCTTCTCTCTCCGGGTCCTCAAGACCACTTCTCCAGCTTTTAAGTACATATAATTAACTCTCCCCTCAACTCAGCACCCCCTCCCTAAGTAAAATCAACCTCAGATCTATTCCCCAATTTTTGTTCTTATTCGTGGTTCTCTATACAAGCTGGAAACTTCAGCCATCTCCTTCATCTACATATCCAAATTACTCCATGCCTGATGTAGTTTTCCCAGTCCCACAACCACCCTTCTACACCCCCATGCTGGCAACTTCTCTGAAAATATCCTCCAGCTGTCTTCTGTCTTTCATGCCTTCAAACCTTCCTACACCGAGCTGCTAAATTAAGTTTCTTTCACTTTCGTTGTATTGTTCAGCTGCTAAAGTCGTTAAGACTGCCAGCTGAATGAGACCAACTTTTCCTGCTGTCCCATTCTTTCGCTTTCCTACAGGTCCTAGAGATGAAACTGACAAGATGTTTTGGGGACGACAAGGGCGGCAAGGGAGGCTCGGGTACACAGGTATTTAGGATACAGACCCTCCCTTCAGGGAACCGTCGCAGTGGTCGGGTAATTAAAGCAAGGAGCTAAGGGAACAGCTGAAACTCCTAAGCTGCCTTTCCGCACGCTAACCATCCGCACGGGCCCTAGGTACGTGCCAAACCAGGACGCAGCCGGCTTTAAGGCTGGAGGCCCTCTACTCGCCTGCGGGACCGAAATGGATCTGAGACAAGGTCACCTTCCGGGGAAAGGAACCCGATATGGGGGAGGGGAAGGAACGCGTCCCAGGGACACCGAACCGAAGAAGCCTGGTGGTGACTCGGCGGGACCGAAGCTTACTCGTTGCGCAAAAGTCTCTCCTGGCGCTTCAACGTCTCCCGCAGCTCTGCCAAACTCCGCCGCCCCAAGTCCTCGGGAACTTGGGGCTCGAAGCCGCGGGCCAGCGAGGACATTCTGCGGGGGCTGAGGCTGGCGAGGCGGCGGGCACTCGGCTTCCTCAGCAGCCCCCGCGGCTAGCGCCGGATCCGCCGCCGGCGTGGACTCCGAGGTACGAGCGGGAGCCGCCATTTTCCCGGAAGAACGGGTCTTCTTCGAACCGAATCGAGCTTTATTGAAACACCGGAAACAAACACAGGCAAGGAGAAGGGGGCGCCGGGAGGAGAGGGAAGGGGCGGAAGTTACCGCTGTTTGGGGGAGGCGGTGGGGTCCCGCCGCGACTGGGCTCGCGTTTACGCAGGTTGTGTTTTCTCGGCTCGTCCGCTCGTCACGTTTATTCAAAAAAGTGTTGGTTAGCGCCACTGTGACCCCGACAAATATCCACGACTCCTGCCGTTATGGAGTTTACCGAGGGGTGGAGGGAGGCAGACATTAATCAGGTAATAATGAAACAGTATAATAGTAAGATTGGTATGGGCACCAGGGCAGGTGCCTCTGAGAAGGGAACTGTAAGTCGAACCTGAGCGATGAGTTGGTTAGCCGTTGGTGTAGTTGGGGGAAAGTTCTGGACGGGGCTGGAGAGGCTTTGGCCCGGGGTGCTGCCGGGGCTCAATGACGTCCTCAGAGTTGGAGGGATCCTTGGGGAGTGTCAGCATTTCTTAATGGGACTCTGTGGCATTTGGAGCAGGACTTTTCATTTGCGGCACTGTCTCAGGCATTGCGAGACATTTGGTGTCTGGCTTGCCCCCGCTAGTTTTGTGACATCCCCAACTCGGAACAATCCAGAACGCCTTTACCTCCCCCTCCGCCCCCCACCCTCGGCCTGCTGGTACACACACATTTCCAAAGGCCCACAAGAGATGATGGTGGGAGGTGCTGGACAAGCCACTGAGAACCCCTCCATCATTCCCTGTTTTACCTGTAGAAAAACAGCACAAAATCAGTTTAGTATTATCAGGGCTCAAAACTTAGTAAGTAATAGCGCCAGATTTTCACTCAAACTCCCAGCTACTCTTTCTACCACACCTATTTGAAAATCTCCTTGGCTTTATGCCTATATCCTAATGTTTAAAATTGTTGAAAGAGCCTTTTCAGGCTGTTAAGAGTACAGCAGTGTCAGACATCCCAAACAGCTCTTACTTCTCTTTACAATTCAGCTACCAGAGCTGTGTCCCAAAATAAAGAATAGGAAGCATACAAGAGTCACAACAGCTATCAGCTGGGAGGTTGGGACACCCCCGTAACCTCCAACACCACCTCCCCATTCTTTGATATGGAAAACTTAAATTTTCTCAATCCCATGTGAAGTGCTATAATAAACAGCATTTCCCTCCCAGGCAGACTGAAGCTCTAGATAAAATCTGAAACCATGCCAGGGAGTACAGTTTAAGTCATTTCTATAGTGTCCCGATCTAGTTCATTCTGATCAGGTTAACTGAAGTATTAACATTCTCAGCATAAGCCTTGCTTTCAAAGATATCAAGAACCTGCTTCAGCCCAGCTATGTAAGAGATACTTGAGTAAGCCCTTTGAGTCAGGTAGTTGGCCCTCAGCAAGCTCCCCAAAGCCTCCCTCAACCCATCCCTGGGCCATAGCTGAAGGCTTTTATTAGCCCAACAGTGGTGAATCCCCATCTTCTGGTCCTACGCCACAGGTGTCCTCAAGGCAAGGATGTCTTCTCTCTAGACTCAGAATTTTGCCCTTACTGTTTTCTTTTTGTGGAAAGCTGTCACTTCTCCCTTCACCCATTATAAATCTAAATTCAAGCCTCATCTTCTCCCTGAGCATTCCTAGGTTATTCCAACCCCAATTGTTCTTTCTTTTGAGCATAACTATGCCTCTTAGAGCTCAAATCTGTTGTTACGCTTCTCCAGTTGTGTTACGCGTGGTGCGTTCTTTTTCCTTTCTAACAAAGTTGTGAAGTCAGGGAGTTCTGTCAGGGAATTACGTTTATACTTTTCTGTCTCTCCTAATGCATACAGCAGGTATTAGTTGGTGGAATCTCCCTCTCAATTTTTCTCACAGCCTTTCTCTCATGTTCTTCTTAATTAAATGTCCCTTTCATATATATAAATCGTAAGCGTTTTATGTAGAAGTATCAGCCATAGTGATTGTGAAGATATTTTCAGTGCTATGGGATAGGATCTTTCATACAACCTAGCTTAGAACTTCAAGATGTCCTAATACAAATGTCAATTTTTTAACAGCACCCATGCACAAACTGACTCATTTTGTCACCAACCAAGAAGTTTGGCAAGTGAGGGAACAGCACCGTAAAACCTAAAACCAGGCTATTTGTACTTCAGTATGAAAGGTCATGTATTCTATAATCCATCAAACAAAGGAAAGATAAGTTTTAGAACAAATTTTGACAGCAGTGTCTGGGGGGGAATTATGTAAAATGGAGACATTTAACAAAGAGAGAAACAACAAGTACCATAGATTTTAACTGTCTCCAGCCAAAAGCAGGCAGACACTTGAAAGGAAGCCCACAAACCACAGGCAGCTAATCTCTGCTGAAGAATTCCAGTTGCATATCAAGAGCCCATCTGTTAAAAGTTGAATCTAGACAAGCATTTTTAGTTTTTGTCTTTGGGTTTCCATGCCCTTTAAAAAAGTCTAAATCACTTTTCCAGTGGTACTTGGACTAATATCCAGAGTATTAATTATCCTCAGAGTAAGCTAATGAATTTGACTATTAGCAAGAAAAATTCAAAATGGAGAATTAGAGGAGTGGATGATTTCATTATGTGAAGTGCTGCCAGGATGACTTGGCCATCCCACTGCCACCAAGCCGTTAAATGTGTCCTTTGAGTGCAGTTTAAAAGGACAAAAACAGGCACCTGGGCGGCTCACTCGGTTGGTTAAGCCTCAGACTCTTGATTTCAGCTCAGGTCATGATCTCAGTCAGGGTCCTGAGCTCAAGCCCTGTGTGCGGCTCTGTGCTGGGGAGGTGGGGGGCAGGGGGTGGAGCATGCTTAAGATTCTTTTCTCCCTCTCCCTCTGTTCCTTCCCCCTCCACCCCACCCCTATTTGCATGCATGTGTGGTTTCTCAAGAAAGGACAAAAACAAACCTGGGAAAGATTTCCATTTGTCCTTAGAGTTGAAAATAAAAGTTAGAAATCAGTTGTAAAACTGGTAGCATTGATCCTCAGAATCTCCAGGCTGCTCTTCTCTGTTTTCTCCCACTGGTTGTCAGGCCTGAAACTGGCCATGGTATGCCTGGGGTCCACCAAAATGGCGGCAAAACTATTTCTCATGCCACATGTTCTTACTATGTGAATTTAACCCCCCACCACCACCCCAAGAAATGGGATTGGTCCTCCCGATCCTTGAATCTGGGCATGCTTATGACTAGAGCAAAAGTGATTTTTCCAGTCTTTGTAATAAAAAGTAATGTAGCTTCTGCCTAATTTTCTTGGGGTGCTTACTGTTGGAACCCATCCAGCAAGCCAGCTATGCAGAAACCTGAGTTTGTGTGGATCTTTGGTGTTTTGTCAGCCTAAACTGGAGTTTCCCCCGAAAGGCAGCATTAACCACGAAATACTGGAGTGAACAAACCTTTGAATGATTCCAGCCCCCACTAGAACAGCCTTCTAGGCTCCCAAACTGAGGCCTTGACCTACAGAATTCAGGTGCATAATAAAATGGTTGTTGTTTTATACCTTTAAGTTTAGGGTGATTTGTTGAATAGCAGTAGTAGCAGGAGCATTAATCAAGAATAATTCCACCAGCTGTGATCTGGATCCCATCTATATTGCCTCCTCGGGGATCTCATTCATTTGTTCACTCAACAAATAATTACTGTGTGTGGGACACTATTCTAGACTTTGGAGGTATCATGGTGAGTGAGACAAAAGTCTCCTGCCATGCTGAAACTTACATTCTATTAGTACTAGTGTCACTTAGAGAGTTAATACAGGTGGATGTTAAGGAGTGATTGGGAGGCTACCTTGATTGAGGTGATGGAGGGTGACCAAGGTTGGTTTTTCTGAGGAGGCCATTTGTAAGCTGAGACAAGAATTAGCCGTGGGAAAGTTTCCCATGTAGAAAGGGAAGCATCCCAAGTAGAGGGAAGAACAAATGCTTAGGCTCTAAAAGGAGAGGGAGCTCAGCACATCCAAATAACAGACAAACAAAAGGCCAAGACTAGATCTTGCAGGGCTTAGGCCAGAATACGGAGTTTGAATTTTGCTCCGAGAGAAATGGGAAGCCATCTGTTGTAGGCAGCCTTCAGGATGGGTTCCCAATGGTCCTGCCCTATTGTAATCCCTTCCCATTAAATGTGGAATGGACTTACTGACTGACTTCTAACAAATAGAACATGGTAAAAAATAATACAAATGGTGAAAGTGGCGAGGTATCACTTCTAAGGTTAGATTATAAAAGATTTGAACACACATTTCACTGAAGGTATATGAAGAAATAAGAACGTGAAAGGTGAGCAATGTTATTATCCATTAAGAAAAAGCAAATTAAAAACACAATGAGAGAGCCTGGGTGGCTTAGTCGGTTAAGCATCTGCCTTTGGCTCAGATCGCTATCCTGGGGCCCAGGGATCAAGCCTCCCCAGTTGGGCTCCCTGCTCAGCAGGGAGCCTGCTTCTCACTCTTTCTCTGCTGCTCCCCCCACTTGTGCTCTCTCCCTCTCTCTCTCACAAATAAAATTTTAGAAACAAAAATATAATGAGATACTACAACACAATTATTAAAATGTCTGAAATGAGGGACGCCTGGATGGCTCAGGTCATGATCTCAGGGTCCTGGGACTGAGCCCTGCGTCAGGCTCTCTGCTCGGCGGGGAGCCTGCTTCCCCCTCTCTCTCTCTGCCTGCCTCTCTGCCTGCTTGTGATCTCTGCCAAATAAATAAATAAAATCTTAAAATAAAATGTCTGAAATGAGAAAGACTGACCATACCAAGTGTTGGAAAGGATGTGGGACAATTGGAACTTACACTGCTAATGCGAATGTAAAATAATACAACCGCTTCGAAAAACAGTTGGGTAGGTTCTGAAAACCTACCACATAACCCAGCCGTTCCTCTGCTAGGTCTTTACCCAAGAGAAACAAAAGTCTGTGTCTGTCTGAAGACCTTTATGTAAATGTTGATAGCAGCTTCATTTGTAATAGGAAACGGAAACAACCCAAC